AAGTCGAAAATATAGAATAAAAATTTTTCGTTCGAGGCTTTGTTTTCGAGAAAATCGACTTTGAATTTTGGCTCGGTACGCGTGCACCTTATCACGTCTCGTTATAACGGATCTCACTGTGGATCGTTGTCTCGATGGGAAAATTAAAAAAAAGAAAAAAGAAATTTTATTCTATATTTTCGACTTCTTTTTTCGCGTAGAATCACCCCCTTTTCGCTTGTATCACCAGTTACCAACCACCCTGTATATTTTTCTACACTCACTCTTTACGTCTTTAAATTTCCTATAAATGTACAAACATCCGTAGCACGTTAATTATATACATTAAAATTCTTATTAAGATTTCTTGAATTATAGATTCGTTTATTCGTTTAAAAATTCCACAAAATTTTCATTTACATTAAAACCGTGAAAAATGTCTTTGTGTCGTAAAGCTTGGAGGAACGGTAAACTGAAAACAATGGAATCTTTCGTGTACATGTTCTGCGCGCTTGTTAATACATTTTGTAAACTTCCAAACGTGCTTCTATTTTATCGTTTTGCGTAATTTAAGAGATACGTCGAATTTGTGATAAAAACGAGTTTCTGCTTTTCTTTTGGGAAATCGCTGGAAGACTTATTGATCGAGTAACATGTGTAATGTCAAGTACAAGGTATATATGGGTCACGCGTGTGTCTCGTTCACATTTGTGTCTTAATATTAAAAGCGAAACAAGAAACATTTTCTCAATATACATCGTTATTTCACACTTTTTCCTCTCGAAAATACCGTTTTACGTTCTATATATATAAGAAAGATTTTCTATAAAAATCCTACAAAGTATAATCTTCTTTATGATTAACAGCATAAATATAAGAGAAATATGAATCATCGCAACTAATATATCATTAGACATTCCACTTCTCCGTCTGCTTTCTAATATCATGTTTCAGGTTTTCAAATAAATTTCAGTAACATTTTTTGTTTCATATTTTCAAACACGATTGTCTTTTAATCTTTTTAATCTTTTAATCTTTAAAAATATGAGAGAAGAAATTCTAATTGATTATCTATAGTTTCTTATTGTAAGCGAAAAGTTAACACTGTCGTTTGTACTGCTTAGTAACACTGCTCCTCGCACTTCATTTTCCTCTTTGTTTCTACCAGATGCTATCACGAATAAATCGTGCTGTCTATTAAATGTTTCTCGATTTTTGTTTGCATCCCTGTCCAGTTTGAATGTTTGTTACCTTTCGTGTATTCACTTTCACAACTTTTTTCTCTGTTGACTCTATTCTATCACTAGCGCTCGATATTTCACTTACCTTTGTTCTTTCACCGACGGTGCCAAGTTCACTAACTAACAGTATTTTATTATTCAGGTATATTTATTTCTGAATTCTCACTTTACACTTGTTTACTTGTGACCGATCGCCTGAAGTGCCTTCAGCTGGCTACTGACTGTGAACGATATTTATTATCCAAAGTATTGCTCGCGTATACCACACAGAGATATTAATCGCGACGATATTATCTCAAGATTTAACTTCGATCGATCGTTTCGGTTGATACTGTCATTAAAAATAAATCGAGTCTCGGTCTACAGCCAATTTCGACGTTTCAATATTTACGCGAAAATTTGACTTTACAATGCCTTGAGATGCTAAAAATAAGAAGGAGATACTAAAACACTAGTTGGACTTAGAGATATGAAAGCTTCATTTCTATCGATTCTAACGAGTTCATACATCCGACAGTCAAACGTTTAACGTCACCTAACGCTCGCCGTGTCTTCTGACAAACACGAAAAAAAGAAGAAAAGAAACTAGGAAGTGAAACACCTCGTAAAACACTTAATTTTATATAAATTTCAGTAAGAAATTATTATAATGAATTTCTCGCGTGACGTGTATTCTTTAAATTATATCAAAGACGATCGTCGTCACTGCTTTTTTTAATTCATAAATCTATAACGTTATGTATAGTATATACACTGTAGTATTATGCTAAACGAAAGCTTTTCTTTAAATAAAAATAATGTTATCATTCGTTATTATTTGTTTACCATTAGCATGCGATAATATTTTGCAACATTAACCATCGATATGAAATATCAATTCACATGTACAGAAGATTTTATGATTTAATCAAAACCTATTTGCAGTTCAACCTGATAGCGTTGATATTTATCGTTCTTGTTATAGTTTTCATATTTGTCATTTACGAAATGCAAATATGTATTTTTTATTTTTAACTTTCCAGTATCTCTGATACGGAAGCTCTTTCACAGTGTAATAAAACGAAATTCATTCAGAACGAATGATTCCAAAGATATTGTTATCTCCTCGTCCTCGAGGTTTCCTATTTCCCATTTCCCATTCCAGCTTTCCGGTATCACGTACAGATACTTTTCATAAAAGATAAATATTAACAATTGCGTTACGCATGATGACGTTTAGTTGATGAAATATATACCACTACGTTCTAAAGCACAATAGTATCAATGATATTTTCAACGAATACTTACCAGTGTCCAGGCAGATGCCCATAGTAGGTCGTTCGAAGGATGCCAAGATCCTGCCACGGCCATTTACTCACATGCTTCCAACTAACTAATTCACTTTTTCTAACACGTTCCTTCGAGAACCAAGTACCACAAGCAACAATTTCCTTCTCACATTAAGAACTCTTTTGTTCACAACGTTTTCGTCGATACTTCTTCTTTCTTCGATTCGAACTACTCGAACTATTAACCGAGTTTTTTCACTTTTCATAAACGGTTGCGAATAAACTTCTATGATACTTTCTTTTCAAAAGTATCCAGTAGATGTCCTTACAGACGACTAAGATCGATCAAATGAGATTTATGATCACAGTCCAATAGATCGGTATCCAAAAGCAGGAGAAGGCTCGATTCGTAAAGTTTCCCTCGATGGTCGATTAAATCCCCGTAATTTCTTTAGGAAAATCTTCAGAACGATGGTCAGTAGTAACACCATCCACATCGAGTCGATAATTTTTCGTTCAGCGTATGAGATGCGATGCACGTTGTTTCGTGAGTTTATCAGAGGGCACGTCCATCTTTAGCAAGAACCACTTTCAGTAGCGAACTATCCAAGAATCTGTAATACAAATAATCAGCAACATTCGTTAACCCTTCGCAAGAATTTTGTTTGCTTATAGAGAGTTCTAGGAGTTATAATCGATTTATATTTCTTACTTCAACTTGGGCTAACTATCGGATCATAGGTAGACCATAGATTTTTATATAATTGTTTAGAAATTTATAAATAATAGAAATTTATAAAATTGCGAGGAAAATAGAAATTGGCAATAAAGCGTGGTTTAAATAGAGATCAATTTAATATTTAATATGTATCGATTAAGTACCACTTATTTCATATATTCTGTTACTATGAAAACTTAAATTCATTCCAACGATATCGTTGAACCTTTGCTTTTCATTTTTCAATAATCCTACTTTTTAAAATTCCATCGATTCGCAATACCACCTTTGAAATTAGAATTTCTCTTTGAAAGTGCATTTTATTTCAACGTAATTCATTTGCCAATATTTCCACTTATAGTCGCTAGATTATTTCAATGTCGAATCGATTAATAGCAATTACTTGATAATGTGCATAGTGTTTATGCGTGTATATTCATACTTTTAATTTTATTCGAGAGTTCAGAAAACAATATAGGAATGAAAGAACTAAAAACAAGGAAAAGTGCAACTGATCGGAGCTCTCTAAACATAAATTTCTATGCAAGTTTCCGCTTTACTGTTAATTTTCTACGGAAATAAGCATTTGCACAAGAGTCTACAATTTAGCAAGATGTAACAGAGTGATAAATAAAATAAAATTTGAAATACGTACATGGCCGTAATTTAACCTCAAATTTCCACGTTATAGAGAATTAAACTAGAATATTAAACGTATTAAATAAATAAAATAATTTCATATTCATTTTAGTCCATATCGATACTGTATATTATTCGTATGATAGGGATTAGTCAATTTGTAAGCATCTATGTAATACAAATGAAACTTAGTTTCATCGCTGTTGGATAAACCCTGTAACCTTTAAAATTATAATTTATTTTCCATTTGTTATTCCATTAAAGAATGACTCCTCCCCTCTTTCTGAACTTCTATCAAAACTATCAAGCAATCAGACAAAAATAAAGTACTCGTGAAGGAACGATCAAGCGAATCTCTGACGATGCACAGAGAATCGTGGGTTTTTCGAAGTATTTTCGATTAAAACATATAACATCCACGACCGTGTTTCATCAAAGAAACATCGATTGAGTAATCTTCCAGGAAAGTGAGGCCACGCGACAAAACGGATCACCGCCACACGATGCTACTTTTTGTTCGAATAAATTCTAACCCTTTCACGAATCTCCCTCGATTCTTCCATTCTCTTCAAAAAATTATCGAAGAGGACACGACGTAAGATCACCAAAGTACCAGCCACTAATTACAACCGCACAAACTTACATAGTAAATGTCTCTGCGGGAAAACTGTTTCTTCTTAGATTTCTAGAAAACTTGTCCTTTTACGTTTTATAACGATGTCGAACCGTTCGAGAACTCTGTCGATCGTTGTGAATCGAGAAAAAGGAAGCGTGGTCTTAGCGACGAAAAACACAGCCGACACGCGAGACTTTCGGAACGGAACTTTCACGAGCAGAGGTTTTCTAGTCGCGGCGTGATAACACTGTAATGGATTGTTAGAAACGACTAGAGGTCGTAGCAAGAGTCAATCGTCACCATAGATACGCCCATGCGCACCTAATCTTTTTTCCACCACTGTCCGATACATACATGTGTTTTGCATACGTCTGAGTTAATGGCCCCGCTTTTTGCGTTGGTTACAATGTACGAAAGTGTGCGTCGGTGAGTTGCAGGTTCAATGTCAAGTTCTTGCCGAGCAGATGGTTCTCGAACGAATGGATTAGCCATTGGCGAATTAATTAATCCCACCATATTGTTACAGCGTTTTTAATCTTCTATATAGCGAATTATGTAATTTAACTGTTCCTCTCACTTGCCGTTTGGTGAACCAATCGAAGTTTGTTTTTGACATGGGTGACAGGATTTTAAAGGGTCTTTAAAATATAGTAGGATTCTTCTTAACCGATGACCTATGAGACTGAATCTAAGTGTCCTGTAAGATATTTACCACGCATGATTTCTCATTTCAATCGTATGTCGAATTTTTTTCTAAATATTAATAATCCTTCTCTCGGTTGAAAGTAAAAGTTGAAGCATATAGAATTCGGAGGCTACAGCAGGATTAATTTAAAAATATTTACCGTATGTTACATAAAAATTCAAATATAACGGAGATAACGTCTAACCTAATCACGTAATTATCTCGATTTAATCTCACTATGTTTTGTGTGGCATTTTTAAAATGCAATCGTGGTCTTCTATTATTAAAAAATTCCTTAATTCCAAGGAAAATATGAAAGAATCATTGTTGATTTCTCGTTTCTAGAGGAAATGAATTGCAAAGAATCGAAGAAAAGTTTGTTGAAAGAAATAAAATGTTATTAGTTTGATACACGTGATGTGTACAAAACTTTTCTTATTGTTAAATGATTTAACATCGTTACGTATGTAAGTTTATATACTATATTTGTACAAATAGGTCCTTATTTTCAAACTAATAAACATACGTACATTGCGACTGAAAACTTTCAACAGTCACACATTACATGTGTATTTCATGCATACATACGTAGTATTTGTTGTCTGCCTTATGCGGTGTATTTCTACTGCATGACTACTGTCGGCGTCCGTGTTTCTTCGTTACCTATAATTCACTTTCTTCGTGTCTTATAATATGTATCAAAAATGAAAAGCTTGTTTTTGGAAACTACTAAATTAAATAAATGATCACGTGTTAGGTTTATTTTATAAATTATGGTAAAACTAATTCTGTGAAAAGTGCAAAACAGTGTGTTATAAAAATGAAGGAAACTTTCTCGTACTTTGGAGATGATATTTAAAACGATATTAAAACTTTAAATTCTACAGTTGTTTAAACAAATATATTAGAATTTATTTCTCTGGTACATTTGCAATCGATTAAGTTTCTAGAATGACTATTAGATGTGCGCAATATCAACATATACGAACATACATTATATTCGATTAATATCACTAGTCACCGTGTGAAAATATACTCTACTGCAGATATATTATTTTATTATCATCATCTATTCCTATCTGATAATGTACAGGGTAATTCACCTATCCTAGCCATCATAAATAACTCGTCAACTGTTTGTATGAAAAATTCTTTTAAACGAAAGTCGTGTAATATTAACAGGCACACACACTACAGAAAACAATTTTCAACTAATGATAAATTGATTTCTTAAAGGTGTAAAAGACAAGTGTTAGGAGATATTCTTTAGATTATCAAAAGTATGTATACATGATCATTATACTTTAGAAATTAAAGTGAAGAAAAGTGAAAAAAATAAAAAGATGAAAGAATGGAGGTTATGTTCTTGCAAAAATAATTGCTTGGGAACAATGTATAAGTGGATCAATTAAGAGCCAGGAGTCAATCAATTCACATTTTCAATTGTTGTATTATGTTGCTTGATTGCCTGATGTTGCATCATCCTTGAAAATTTTTCAAAAATAATCCCATTGCGGCTTTCGCAGAAAGTTTACTTTCATTAATATGGAATGGAATTACCTATATATTTACAATCCTTTTATTCATTAAAATTTTGTTATCTTTACCAACAAAGATTGCTCATATTCAAGACAATAATTCGTACCAATAACATTATATGTTTTTATTTTAAACAGAAAGTGATCCTATCGACCGATAGAAACTTCCAAAAAAATTAGTTTCTTTTCTCTTGATAGTAAACCAATAATTCTTCTCGTAACGTGAAAAGTTTAAACAGCTATCATAAATCCTAGTTTCGTAAACGTCTCTAGCAAGAGCTATTACCAAGAAATTACTACTTGATTCGTAGTGGGCGATTACCCCCGTGTGTCTGCATTATTCGTTATTCAAATAAGCTCGAAGGTATAATCAACCACTCTTCCCCTGTTTCTTCGACGAAAATAATAAAAGCATTCGAGCATATATACTAAAAACTGTCAGTGATAGTTGTGATATCGATTAAATTATTTAGATACCCACTCATACAGCTGCTTAGCTCTCATACATTCATGTATAATTCTTACAAGGTAAGCCGTTTAGGTAACCACGCCCGTTTTCCAATGACATGCATCATCTCCGTGACAACGAATCACTCCCCCGAAAAACGTTTTAATATTAGTCTGTCGTTCGCTTTCCTTCACTTCTTTCACTCTTGTTCGCCTTCTTTTTTCGGTCACATTGCCCTGAAATTATATAGATTATTTCAATTATAATATATGTATTATAATACGACTCAATATGAGTTTTTAGTATAGTTTACTTTTGTACGATTGACAAACGATAGATATTGGAGCAATTCAATTAAATAAGTTGTTTCTTCGACGAATATCGACGAGGAAAGAACCAATGAAAATGTCATCCTATGAGAAGTTTCGATTAACGTTTAACGAGCGGAAATGTCTCATAGAACTTTCTTTTCAAATGAAACATAACATAAGTTCATTTATCTTTAATGCACAACTTGATTATTGACGTCTCATTGACAAGTAACGAGCAACCTTCGTCATTTAATCAAGGACATATGACGTCGCCTGATGAATTGTCTCGTTACTTGACTGTTAATAGTGCGCTAATGAATGAGATTTTAAAAGGATAAAAGAAGCAAGACAGTTGACTGCGATTATATTGCATGAAAGCAGTTAGAAGAATTTTAGATGGTTCAAAAAGTACAATTGAATATTTGGATAAATATTGGGTAAATTAAGTGGAAATAATGAATCATTTGGACTCTAACAGGAAAAATAAAAGTAGAATTCAGATTTCATTTTTTGCATATTTTATTACCACAAGAAAATAATAGTTTCGCTTTTAAAAATCATTCTAAACATTTTTTAGGATATAAATTTTTAGTTGTGTAATATTTTTTTAAATATATACTATAGCTATTTACAAATTTCTGCAGATCTTTTTCTTTGAAGATCGCACGATCGTTTTACAAATATTCAAGTACATTTATTTAAATTATTTAGTAGTTTCCTTGACCTTGATATTCGATCGTGAAGACGAATATTCGTATGCAAATTTTAGGAAGTACATTCATAAAATATTGCCTTGCATTTAATGTCAGAGAAATATTCATACTGTCCTTCTAAAATTGGCATAAATTGGACTGACAATGTTTTAATATTAAGTCCTATTGCGGAGGCATGTTATATAAAATTGCTAACATAATTCATGTCAAATATTTCATATTCGAGAAACAACATCTAAAAAATTATGATATATTATACACATGCAATAATACATTTATTTATATCTATAGTATAAGAGATACAACAGTGAATTAAATTAAAAAAGTTTAAAGGTATTGTCAAATATTTTTATAAGCATCTGATTGTTATCTTCGCTTTCATGTTTATCGGTTTTTTTAAAGAATTTTTAACACGCCATCATTATAAATATTCCAAAAGATATTTCCTATATATTGCTGCTATGCTTGTCATTACACTTGTTCATAAACTGTGTCTATGATTTATACAAGCTTCTTAGAAGCTTAAAAGTTGATCGCAGAAAAGCTTACTATAGTTTCTTAACGATTGTTTGCCTGTTAACTGACTAAATTGTCGGAAATGTCCTAACAATTTTCATGAATAATTTAATTACAGTTGATGAAATTATTAAATGATATAAACAGATATATTTCTTATCTTAATAGTATAATTCATATCACAGTTTTTCTCTAAATCAATTAAAAAATCTGTATTTATTGTAACAGTTTATCTGATCTATTTCTATTTTTACCAATTTATATACACTAAATTCTTTGTCTAGTGATTAGTCTAATATCACATTTGATTAGAACGCTAGGATTCTCCTAGATTGTTCCAGTGTCATAATTGTTTTATTATGATAATATCAATGTCAAATAAAAATCCATAACTACTCTGTTTAACATTAAACGTTTTACTTATATTTTTCCATGAGGGTCAACTGCATATATCAAACGCATAATTGACATAGTTAAACACATTTTATTATTTACAAATTTCATATTATTCAGATATTATTGTAAATAAATTACAAAAAATAATTACAACTGACGCCGTATTCTTTTTCGGTGTTTTTGACAAATTTATTTTTACTGTTTACTGATGTTCTTATTACAATTAAATGGTAAGAAGAAATACTGTTTCAAACGCAGTACAAAAGTCTCTTATCGTTTTAAATGTATCGTTATATACATCGAATATCTTGTTACAAAAAGTGCACGTATTAAAATCTTGTGCATTAGTTCATACACCGTTTCATTTTTATGAAAATACATTTATAAATATACAAAATTCGCCCACATACTTCTTTAATAAGTACGTTCTAATTTAAATATCACTCGTTTTAATACTGGAGGCGTATACAAATAATTTATTAAAAATGGTATATAACATTGCATTAAATTAATTAAATAATCTCAATACAAGGTAAAAAGGACTGAAAACACAGATCAGTATTTTCTCCTTCGAAGACACGAGATGATAAGTAAGTACATTAATATCACATAAAAACAATGATTAAATAATATTAATCATATATGAACGTTTAAAAATTTTGAGGGAACATTACCGTTTAATTGTTAAATTTTGAAAAACGCATAACTAATTATTCATAAAATTAACGGAGTTATCGATTAAACTAATTTATCTCTCGGCTCAGGTACTTCATTATTTGAACGCTTATTAATATCACACAGTATCGATTCACAATATTGACGCATTCGCAATGTTAAATACATCTGAGCTTTAAATTATTTAATAGCACGATATTACATAAACTTGTATTGTTGTACAGATTTGAGCAGACTGTACTCACATCATACCGTATCAATGTACATATTTCAAATGATCGGAAAGCAAATCACTTTAAAAGTATAGGAAGATAAGATTCTTATAATGGCAAATTAAGACGCGAATATGACAATATACAGATAGTAATTTCGGTAGTTTTAACAATTTCAATGAAATTTATGAATTGTAAATTGTTTATCAAAATTATTGGATGCTTTTAAATCTTAAATTCATCTTCCAAAGGATTTGAGAATTCGATGGTACATGTTTCGGGCTTGTGCTTTACTATTAACTTAACGTCTTGATTTCTTGTGCGCCATTGTTGCCACGACCTATAATGAAACCTAAAAGCAAAAATTTCGAACATCCGGAAAGATTTAAGAAGAGTTTACATTAATTGATAGAAATTAATTTTTTGTTGAATAACAAATATACATAGATAATTGTGAGCCATCGATCGATAGTGATTATCGATGATGAATTATACAATGTATAATCAGCTAATTTGCTATATTTATCGCTGTGTCTTTATGAAAAGTGATTAAGATATGATATTATAAACAAAAGATACATGATTTATTTTATCAATAATGTATTGAAAACCTTGATTCGAGATATAAAGCAGGAGCTAGATTTTCTACACTATTTCGTATCAAATAAATTAGTAGCTATATTTTAATAATAATGCAACAAATAAATTTTTCGTATGATGATCATAAGCCATACCTGATAGTGACAATCAACCACAAGCAATAAGTGGCTACCAGTATGCTACAAAGGGCAGTCAAGCCTGTTCCCTCCCAAAAACCAAGCTTGGTATAAGCGGATGCGCCAATTGCGCAGAAGTATGTTGCCGCGATACAAAGTGGAGTTAACAGTATCAGACACACTATATCGCCAGTTATACCTTGTGGTCCGTATCTGTTTCTAGTTCTCCACCATTGTCTGAAAGACTATAGTAATTTTTAGTAACGATTAAAGTTGGCCAAATTATAATCGAACCAACGAATTCAAATCTTTTCTTAATTCTTTATCAAAGTAACGTGACTATGTAATTCAAGTTTATATACAAGAAAATTATTTTAAGAGAAATGTCTAAAAACTCACCTGTAATAACGGTTTATAGTTCCTCTGTATCTCGAATGACAGGTTACAAATTTCACAACGATCGGTGTTCGACATGGACAACCATTTTTCCAAACAAGAAGCATGGATTAGGCCCAATGTACCGGAACATTTGCAAGGATCTATCAATTCTTCCGAACTTTCATCTATGAAACAATTTTGTTTCATTTAATAGAGGAGAACCCCATTTTGTAACGTTGTAACAGTATTAATGCATTTATGACGGTATTAGATGCAATGACACCGAAATAAAAAAAGAAACAGAGGAAACTAATCGAAACAAAAGGTGTCGTTCCTCAACGATACTTTTAGATCTCGTATGCCGATAAATAGAAAGCGAAAAATGGCGGTTCTCAGCTGAGATATTTAACCACATCCGCTCCAGTCATTAGATATAACATAGTCCCATCATTTCTACATCATTTATTCTGACCCGTACAAAACCGTTTAGTGAGTATTGCAAGAATTAATTTTGACGATACTGTTTCGAGATTTCGTCTTAATGCTTATGTATTATGAAAAGTGTTTGATTGGAAAATCTGCTGAAAAATTCGATTTATAAAGTATGTATTAATCTTTATATCAAGGTAATTCTATGTTTGTTAATCTTATCGTGCGGCTTCTGCTCGTATACTATTTATATAGGTATTACAATTACGTATAAGATAAGAATTAACCATGTACATGAATTAACATTTGCCATCAATGAAAGTATATTTTAATAATTGCTTTTTATGATTTTTAATTTTGTTTAAATTTTATATTCGTTTGGCCATCACACCGACACGAACCATGTTCCACCACTTTTAATAATTAATAATCAGCAGTCAATAATCAATGATCAATAATAATCAAACATGTAAATAAATTAATAAGTAATACACATTATCACGTAAATTGCGCATTGTCTTACATTACAACAAAATATTTACATGTATCTATCCCTGCATATAAATGTGTAAGTAGATACATGTATGTATACAGATATGCACGTATATACATACCTATATATGTATAGTTTTGTATTATATGTTGCGTGCACTATAAGGCTTACATGTTAAAGTTTACACGTAATCTATGCTTATCGTTTCATCAAAAAACGTAGTACCTGCCACAGACTGTGACTCAGAGAACATTTCGAGACGTCACTGAATTCTTTGTGGTAGTATCGAATCTATGATCGATATCAAGATTTCAGGTACTCGGAATATTAACAAAAATGTATGCAACATACATAATCACCAAAATATAAACAATCAATTATTATTAATAATATTCATAGGATTAGATGTAAGAGATGTAAAATAAAAATAACGATAAAATCGGAAATATTGTCATAGAGGATACGTTAACGCTTTCAAATACTCCCATTAATCACGAAACTGAATCACTACTATACATACATATATATGTATGTTTCTCTTTTTTAGGCACATTCCACAAATATAGGCATATTCCACTTTTTTCATTTTAACATATTTATTTTAATATACATATTTTTTATCGATATGTATCACCCGTCCTTATAAGGTTACCAGTTTAAATATTGGCAGAATTAATATTTAAAGACAATATGAAATCACACTTAGAATCATATTGAAATCATTTGCTATTTCTAACAAAAACTTATCAAGTTTCAACACACACTTCTATACCTTATTTATATTACCTCAAAAAATATTAGTTCACTTGCCAAGAATACCTTGGGTTATTACCTTGCGTAAACTACATCTTGAAACTAACTAGGTTCTGAAAACATTTCGTACGTAATCCACTTTCAAACTTACTATTTAAATCACAAAAATAGTCCCTGCTTACATTATACGATCTTAACACTTTGTTTCTAAATCTTCAATGAACTCTTCCCCTGGATTACAAATTTATCATTTAAGCCTGGAGTATATTAGGATATACTGATACATTACACTTATATAAAAGAAATCATAAAAAAATATCATAAGCAATCTTCAATCACGTTGTCCAAATCATGAAACCACAACACTTTCTTCTTAGCATCTCAGTTTCAAATTCAAACCACTGAATCCTAAACAGATCGAGGAAACAAAGATCGTGCAGGATCGATGGATCAATATACTTAAAAGTGAATGAAGAAGAGGAGGAAAAATAGGAAAGAAAGAAAATTGTCAATATTGTACCTTCGTGACATATTCGACAGCAATTAGAGCCGGCACTTTGTTTATCGGAAGTCATGTTGTGTCGGTAGAAAGGCGAAGCGATTTTTGGCGTGTTGATGGTCGCAGCGTCGTCGAACGCCGCCGTCGCTGCACTGCTCTGATGAAATTCCATGGGACGTTATCGAGCTATTATCGAGGAATTATCGCCGCCTATGCGTTCGTTGTTGGATGTCGTCGCAATGTCATCCGGATGAAATCAACCGTTTTGTCACAGGAATCGGTACTTTTCGATCATCAATCAAATCGGTGTCTTTAACTTGACGTAGTCGTCATCAAAATGTTTTGATTCTTAAGGAAATTAACTATATCTACTGATATTCAAAAGTTTCGATTTGTGGAAATTAAATAATTATAAAATTGTAAAAATTGTAAAAATATATATATATTTGTAATTATTTGAGTATATTTTATTGAGTGTATCATTTATTTTTTAATTTTAATTTTGGTGTAATATTTACTACATAATAGTAGCTAATATACATAAACATATGTAGTTTGCGCAATATTTTAAAGTTGTTTAGGAAGGATAAATGAAAGGATGTAAATGAGCATTTTATTTGTATTTGTATTTACAATTTTTAATTGTATTAAATTATTTATAACTGTGTGGCAAGGTTGAGCATTAATAAATAGAATGTTAGTAGTTGATGTTTTACAATAATTTTTTTATTTATTTTCTTTACATATTTTTCTAATATACTTTTCTTAATAATATTATTGTTTTTTTAACGAATCTTGAAATAAATTTATACAAGGCAATAATATTTTATTTTAAGCTCAAAAGTTTAATTTTATAAATGGAATGAATGAAATGTTTAATATGTGTATATTATAAGATACGATATTTTTTAATTTTATTTAACTTTATTATGAATATTTATTTTATTAAATGAATTGCAAATTTATATTATACGAGTATATATACAATTAAAATATAAAAATATTATTATTCAAATTAAGTTACATAAAATATATATTTTTGTATTTTATAGATTTCAAAGTTTATGAACCTGTAATTAAACAACTTGTGTAACCTTGTTTTCAGTATTCATGTGTTCAGTAAGATTTTTAACCTCAAAACAATACGTTGGTTAAATCTAACCTATATTATATTACATATTATTATAATATTATTGTGATTACATGTTTTGACATGATATTATTTGTAAGTTTTATGATTTGAGGATAATAATACAAAAAAAGCAACAATGAGTACATCAAGTGATGTTAGTAATGAGAACTTAGAAGTACAGGATGGGAAAGATGAAGATATTAAGATTGAAGATTATCAAAAAGAAATTGATAGTGATGATTCCTATAGTGACATTCCAGAAGCTAGTAACGATGACAATGTAAGACTAAATTAACATTTTATATTTACTTTTGTTCTACTTTTATATTAATAAATATTTAATATACTTTTAAATATATTTAAATTATATAGACAGAAGATAATCAGAACAATGTAGATAATTGCCAAGAAAATGAATATGTGGGACCAGTTCTTCCTGGAGGCCATAGGTTTGACAGAAAGTTTATCTGTGTTAAATATCCTGGAAATGTTATTAATCCAGATAAAGCTGTAGAAACACTAGGTGGCATTCAAAGCATTTCTACGGTATTATATTATTTTCTCATAAGGATTATACGATAGTAATATTTATAAAACTAATAATTAACAATCCCTCTAATTAATTGTATGTGTGTTAATAGGCAGTAAATACACCAAATCGACGGTTGGAGTTAAGATTCAGACCTGATGATATTTTTTGTAAACCGACTTGTGGCGATAGACATAATACTAATGGTTTCCTGCTTAGAATTAGAATTAAAAAATCTAGAGTAAAGAAAGCAGAAGAAGCTGAAGCAAAACAACAAAGGAAATCATCAAGAAGTACTGTGATTGTAAGTGATTCTTCGATTGGTGACAATGAAAATACTGGAAATAATGTGGATAAAGTGAATTTACCACAGACTAGAGACAATAAAGGTCAACAAGAACAACTTATGACTGAATTAATCGATCGAGTACAAAGTTGCAGCTTTAATACTCCCAATAATCCTGTTCCTGGTCCTTCTCATAGAGTGTATTCTGAAAATAACGCGGATTTACGGGATCAATCACTAGATACAAATGAAGTAAATATATCAAAGAATAAAAAGGATATACCACCAACGTTTGATCGAAATAAATATGAAGATCTTTCTGAAGATAAGGATTATACATTGCCAAAATTACAAATCTTAGGTCGAGTTGACACAGAATTTAGATTTACAAGTATGTATGGTTTAAAATGGATAAAATAAAATTTATATTACTTTTTTCATATATCGAAAATAGAGTTAAAGAATACAATATTTTTCAGGTCTTTGTGACTTTCAGTATTTACCTATGACACAAAGTAAGGAAAATCCGAAAAAGTTAGAATGTATATACCACAAGATTTATCCCAGTAATATACCACATTATTCTTGGTTAAAGAATGACGTACCTTACTTCTTGCCACCAGCTGCGTTTAGCAGAATGGATACGGTACAGCAATATGTACCAAAGACAGAAATTAATTCGTATCCGGAAAATATAATAGGAAAGTGTCGAAAGAGAAAGATAGGATTTTCGAATTTCATTTATTTTTCAACATCAGAAGTTCCTTCTAAACCGCCAACAGGCATAGAAACTGCCATGAAAGTTAAATTCATTCAGAGTATACACTTTGAACAAATCCGTCAAATTTTTGAGGAACGACCAATTTGGTCGAAGAACGCAATAATATATAAAACTAAATTTTCTTCTGAACGATTGAAAATTTTACTACCAGCAGTCGCATATTATTTTGTAACTGGTCCATGGAAAATTATGTGGGTAAAACTGGGGTATGATCCAAGGAAAGATATTTCTGCTAGAAAATACCAAACTTTAGATTACAGATTAAAATCTATGCGTAGGTATCTTAAGTATTGCTGTTATTAATATAATATTCACACTGAAAAATTGCCTTACTTACTTTGTTTTATTCAGATGGTTTAGGATCTACTGTAAAATGTAAAAGAAATTACTCAGAGTATACATTACCATACAAATCAACATCAGCTGCAAAACAGAAAACAATTGTACAAAGTGTGATTTCTAGTCGAGAGCAAAGTCCTAAAAAGGAACAAGATTTAAGCGAAGATGTGTATATCTATCGAGAAGGAATAGTACCTCCCTCGAAGCAAATGTTTTATCAGGTTTATTACAATTTTCTGATTATTACAAATTTTTATGGTTCTATACTTAAAGTACAAAATTTCTTTCAGTATTGTGATGTTCTAGTAGATGAAATACAAGAAATGTTAGCAAAGTTACCAGATTCTTTACCTGGAATTAGGTGCCACGAAAAAAGAGGCTGGTTACCAGTAGGTTTTGATGCACAGTGTAGAGAAATTATTAACAGACAAGTTCGAGCTGTTTTAAGAAAACAAATGAATATACCCGAAGATCGTAAGTATTGATATTTCTTTGCGTATATAATTTTATACTACAATATTTTATTTACAGATCCTACATCTTTACCTCGAAAACGTAAATCTGGGATTAAATTAAAGCTTAATAAACTTAGAGCTAAACAAAGAAAGAAAAAAAATGATTCTGTTTCTAGCGCAGAAGAAAGTGAGGGAAAATATGATCAATCTGAAACCAATGTTATTGCAATAGAAAATGAGTAAATTATGTTATGTATATGTAAGATTTGGTAAATAAATAGCATTTTATAAATACCTACAAATAAAGTTTATTCATAAATGTACAGAGTCTGTCTGCCAAATGTCTATTAATAAATATGTTTACATCATTAATTAACTGATACTGTAATTACAAATTAAACAAAACGTAAAATATAATTGATTTCTTTTGAAAAATGAGTGCAGGAAAAGTGCAGCGACGAGACACATTTTAATAATATTCATGAACGCTTAATAAATATTTTTAATACATGTATAACATGTATATATAATTAGTGTAACAACTTTTGTATTGCATTGCAAGAAATAATTAAGTGCCTTTGAAAAATCCTGATCACAGTTCCTCGATAATATCTAAATTTATATAAGCATTTATATGTATATGAAACTTTGTGATCCAAAGAATTAAATTTATATAAATTGTATATTCGATGTAAAATATTCCATTTTTTTGCAGTCCAAATGAAAGGTAATGCTTTAATGCCGATAGGGAGCTAATTCACATAAATAATATAGAATAAAATGTTCAACGATTATTTTTCATTTGTTTCCTTTTTGTTTTAACTCGTGTTTCGTCTAAGCTGCAAGAGAAACGGATAAAACAGGTGCTGATGACGCGAATTATTCATTCACGAGGCCTTTAAACGCGGATGTTGGGATTGGTACTGGCCACGTAGCTCAAAAGTTCTTCGGAGTCCTCGCAGACGAATGGTTTCTGGTGATAGCAAGCCACATCGTGCCAGCTGATTCCATCCTTGTAAACGTTGTTTAGGATGGACATGCAAGACTCACTGGTGCCATTTATGTCGAATTCAGCGTTGTCCGGTTGTCTGACCTTCTTGTGTCCAGTTTGAGACCATGGATTGAAGGACCAACCTTCGGGGATTTGATTTGTTGGCGCCATCTTCTTTCTGTTGGCTGACCAGAACCAACCATAGAGGGCTTTGGGTTCAAGATCACGACGATTCTCGCAGCCTTTGAAGTCGCAGAGACGTCCAGATGTCCAGATGTAAGGAACATCGTCTATGAAAAAGTAATAATTTATTAATTTTTACGAAAGAAATGATTAATACATAACTTTATTATACAGATTATGCAATTCTCTAGTATATGTTTTTTCTGATAGGTAAAGAGCCGTAATCCTTTCCCGAAGGAAACTAATATTCAAGTGAAATCTATACCGTGAAAACTGAAAATTATGGTATGATATTTTGGAAACTTTTTTTTATTTTCAGTTTAAGTATATTCCAAGTATAATGAAATATCGAAAATTTTGCATTATTTTTCTAGAATCTTATAATTTTAGTCATAGATTTACGACTTTTGTAAGAAAGTACTTCTTTCAAAATTTCTGCTTAAATCTTCTACAGGTTAGAAAACAACATAATTTATAAAAGGTTTCCGCTTTCCTTATCCAAAGGACAACCTTCGAAAAAATAACCTCATTTTAATATCGGTAGAAATGTTAACATAGACGAGTTTCAGATCATATTACTTCGTGGCAAGAGACATATGCGGTCGAAATGATTGATGCGTTCCGTGATGCAACTATGTATGTATATAAGAAGATGAGATTCCTCAGCCTCAACCCACTTAAAGATCCTTCGTTTTGCCTTGAAGATTCTGTTGTTAACTCGTTAACTCGGAGATTCTAACTTCTCGACAACGAATGGAAATTGTATCTGCACTTGCGAAAGCAATTAGTTGTATGCAAATGAGCAACAAACAAATTTCAACGCGCGCACGTGCGTGTGTGTATGCATTAAATGAATCTTTTTATTGATTCAAATATTTCATCTGTGATGGGATAATTGATACACTAAATTCTTTCGATCCTTCTTTCTTGTTTCTCAAAATATTTGATTCAATAAAAAAAGAAAGGGGGAATTATTTTATGATATTGTTGTAATACTTTTTTACAGACATGTCTATTATAAAATTTAAATATTTTGTTCTTGTTTTTTAAGAGTTTCAAAAAAAAAGAAAAAAGGAGAATAATTTTAACTACGGCGAAGTTAATTTGTGCATTTATAGAAAACTTTGAAGCACAACAAATATCCAGAATACGTATAACATACAAAGATATATAAAATAGCTAGAATAAAATATTTACTACAATATTTAGTCGACGATACAAATCTTTATTTAAATTCTGTTTCTTTAATTATCTCCACAAGAGATACGAATTTACATAAACATACTCAGTCCACATAATAATTAATTGCGTAATTGTAAGATTCGCCTTTATGGTTTGTCGAATAACCAATAAACTCTTCTCGTCCTCGTTCCGTGAAATATCCGTTCGATCAAAATATGTATTTTCACGACATTGTTCTTGTAATAAGTAACCATAAAACTGATTAGTCTTTCACTTTCTTCAGTCGTGAGGAAACACTATGGCCGAAGACGCGATGTTACAAGCCACTTAACGCGAAGTCGAAGAAGCATCGTCTCACGGCGATGGATCATTTGTTTCGAAATTTCTATGCTATCCAGCTGGCTAAAGAACGAAAGCTACGCTGGGTAATAAATTGTAAACGATCCTGACTGCTTCTGTGTTCCTTGGTACCGATTTTATCTCCGTGGTTGTAGAACTTTCTAAGCCTGACGTTAAAGAAATGGATTTATACCTTCCTACGCGTTTCTGCCGACACGTAAAATTTAATAACTATGTACATACCGTTGTATGAGATTATTATTAGGTATATCTCTCGTTTAACTTAACTACCGATTATTGCTCAAATTCATGTAATTGGCGGTGGTATTCGTTTCTTGAATCCATCCATGCTGTTTTAAGGCGAACTATGTTGAAACTCGTTACTGGATCTTATCATTTATTTCGTGCAAGCAATTGTTAATCATTTTTGTCAAAATGATTTAGCTGAACGCGAAAATGAACGAAGTCAAAACGATGATAGCTAAAACAAAAGGAAAAGTAAAATTGTCTGCTATAAAATAGATCAATTAGCAGGTTCGTTATACGAAAGCCACAAGAGAGAACATAAGTACACGTTTAGCTCTAAAATAAAATAAAATGTACAAGTTACTTAGGTTTAAGAAGAGTATAAAAAATTCCTTGTTGCTGTACGTGATCTTTTGCCTGAACTTTATCCTAAAGTTTCTCTCGAAGTATTAAAAATTTTGTTTACAGAAAATATAAGAATTTTATTTGACACGCAAAAGTTCGAAGATCGTAGTAGAAAAGAAAACGTAAGTACTATTTGTTGATTTTCTGATTTTAGTGTTACCCCGTGACTAGATAATAGGAGTTTAAATGTAACAGATTTGAAAAGGAAAACGATCTATCTTATGCAGACTCTTTTGAAAATAGCCGATGAGCTAGCACGACCAAACATATCGTTTCGTATCTTCAAAGTATTCGCGAGGGTTTCAAAATTTTCCAATCGAGTTCGAACCTATTCGTAATATACTTGATTTTATCTTCGTTTCAGACGTGACGTACGAGAATTGCTGTAATATACTTGAACTTTGCACAGTTTCTTCTTCCTTACGTTCCTGCGAATACGCGTGAAAGGATCAGAAACGTTACGAAATGAAAATCACGCGAAAGAGTGACAATAAAGAAAAAAAGCCGAAGAGAAGAGAAGAGAAGAGAAGAGAAGAGAAGGGAAGAGGAGAGAAGAGAAGAGTTAATAGCGATGCAATTAGGATATATATTGAATCCGTACGAAACCGAAGGTAAACGCGTTTCGTGTTCACGCGTGAGTCGTTCGCGAAACGTGTCTGTGCATCATGCGTTAATGAATCATTTTTATTCTTGTAATCGTTGCCTCGAGATTATTCAACCGATTGAATGGAACACCTCGTTTTTCTCATGAATAAACAAGTACACGTCGATAGAAATTTTTTCTTCTGCGAATCAATCTTGCTCGTATCATAGCGAAAGAAATCTTTTGATAAGTCGACTCGAATTCCAACTTAGCTTCGAGATGAATTTTTATTTTATTTGTAACGTTTTTTCCTTCTCTTTTCTCTGTATGAATATTAACGACGTTTCAATTGTACGTACATAGGCGTGTATATACTGTATAATAACGTACATATAATAACTATACATATATGTACATAATTATCGAACTGCAGATTCGTTCGAAGGTGCAGAAATGCATATAAACACGTAAAATACTTGAAATATAATATTCGAAGGCGATATTTAGCAAGTAAAACGATTTTTCAACCGGATTTCATTACTTAAATTCTATTTATAAAAGTAGGAATTTCCACGAATGTCCGCAATTTAATAATCGTGAACGATCATGATTCAGAATAGTTTAAAACACCTGACTTCGTCTTTTTATTCTAAGCTTTACCTTGCGTCTTCTATTTTATAAAATATTTCAAGAATTTGTCATATTTATCTCCTACTCGCGAAGCATCTCAAGAATTAAAATCGCTTACTTTGTTGAATGAGTCTGAAGATTAAGTTGTTCTCGTCTTGAGTTTCCATCGACACGAGGTCCATGCAGTACTCTCTGCAGATGTTCCTAGCGTCTAACCAATCCACCCTCTGGTTTGCGTGAGCCGGAACGTGCCCGCTATAGAAATAATTGTGCCCTCTGTAGTTGAATTCTCTCGGTCCTGCGAATTGGAAATAGAAAATTAATCCCCCGAACGAAAGACAAAGGTTTGTGAAGAGATCGGCTTTTATTAATTCTTATCAGATTTTTCCACGCGACACATAAGCGTGGTAATCTCGTACGATAAATTCTAACACTTTACGGTATCTTGACGCTTCGTTACGATCCTTTTATCAAGAAAAAAAAAAAAGAAACGATATGAACTGATACGAAGAATGTTCTTCATACTTTTTGTCAGTTGTGTTTGATATATCAAGATTTGACTACATAGAGTTGCGGATTTTTCTTCCAGAAGAAACAGAGAAAGAGAGAGAGAGAGAGAAAAAAAAGGAAATCGTTCACGATATTCAATTATGTTTGTCGTGTATAATGCATATAAACGGCGTGGATCTGTAATCGGGGAATGTGATTATCGTCCGGTTAAATGTCAATGGTCTTACAATTTTTCACGTTACACGTTGATTATGCAGGAATGCCTCTCTCGTCGACGATTTACGACGTGCGTCTCATTATGAGAGCCTAACGTTCTGATTGCGAAAGGGTTGCTCGTATTCAACGGTAATATTACAGGCTGTTGCCTATTTCATCTATGTTCTCTCTCGAGTATCATCGATATTCTAATATTCTCAAATTAACCAATCCGTGATCTCTACGAATAATAATCAAGGATTTCTTTTCCATAGATTTACGAGTTATCGCGTCTATTGGTAAGCAGATCGACTGTAGTTAATTCGTATAATTTGTAAAATTTGATGTATAACTTTATCAATTTTATTACCACGTCTGTCATCGTTCTTCGAAGGAATTTATCATCATCGATTATTTATAATTCACGACTCGTAAAGTTTTGCTAATCGTGTTACACGCATAGAGCAAGAGGTCTGGGAAACTTGTTCGAAAACAATTTTTTCTTTTTTTTCCGCAATTTAAATATTCGCTTAAGTACATCGTTTATCTTCGCGTAAAATCCTATAATTTACCTATAAAAGTGGAAGAGCGTTGCTGAAAAAGTCACTAGACCTCGTCGAACTATTGCCAAGACTGATATCCTAAATTCTAGCTATTAAAATCGATTATGTCAGAACCTGTTATTTCAGAAGTTGCAGACACACCATAGACCAGTGCGTATGTATTATTACGTATTTACTACGCGTTTCATCGCCTGTAATGCCGCAAGGAGAGGCACGATGGATGCGCGCGAACACGGCTCCTCTTCACTGACGTGTAATCCTGTGTAATCTCATTGTTGCAAAAATAGCCGTTGAACGAGAAGAACGAAAGGGAAAGACAAGAAAAAAAAAAAAAAGAAGAATTAACTAAATTGCACGTTCCTTCTGACATATCACGGAAAAGAAAAATCTCACGGTGAATGTCATGTGGCTAGTTTCTTCTGAATGATTCCCAAGCAGGAATCAATCGGTTGTTACATTGGGAGTCGAGGCTACGACGCGTTCCCCTTTCAGAAACGAACGATGATTCTAATACCTCTGTTAGAACGTCGATTGCCTTAACGTCGAAGCGCTGTCGTGAGTTTCGACAAGAAGTTTCTACGAGAAGATCATGATCTCAGCGACGCCGACGCGGATAGTCGAATAAACGTAGCAGCTATCCTTGAACATTTGGCATTTAACAATTCGTGGTTCCTGAGACTCTTGCTTGGCCGTAGGGAACATGGATTTTTAATTGTCGATCAACTTTCGAAACGTGTAGCTTTTTCATAGAAATATAGATTTTGTATTCACTCTGGCAATGTATAGTTTCATCTATATCATGCAGTTTTTGTAAAATTATTATATTACAAACGAACGCATTCTTGAACATTTAGTATTTAGCATTTCTTGGTTCTTAAGATTCTTGTTTAGTCTCAGGGATGGCTCTTTCTATGTTTCGTGTATTTTTTTCTTTTTGGTGAAATTACTACTATTTTATTTACTATATACTAAATTATATTATATTTACTGTACTATATTTACTATATACAGGGTGGTTGGTAACTGGTGGTACAAGCGGAAAGGGGGTGATTCTACGCGAAAAAAGTAGTCGAAAATATAGAATAAAAATTTATCGCGTCTCGTTATAACGGATCTCACTGTGGATCGTTGTCTCGATGGAAAAAAATTAAAAAAAAAATTTTTATTCTATATTTTATTTTCGACTTCTCTTTTCGCCTAGAATCATCCCCTTTCCGCCTGTATCACCAGTTACCAACCACCCTGTATATTGGATTATTTACTACAAAGAATAAGAGAAGAAGCTCTGCATTCGTTCTACGGTACATCGAACGAAAGGAGACAATTATTTCCAGCGTCAGAGTATGACTAATTGGTATGTTAATTAGATGCCTTTAGAATCACCTATCTGTAATAAGCATATTTTTAAATTCAAATATTTTCTCATCTCGTGACAGTTCGAAAGATGTATCGTTTGTATTTACGTAATTTCAGGGAATTTCGTATAACTTAATTGAAATATTTCGATGATGAAACTTGTATTACGCGTATCGTTAATAAATTTTGAATTTCACCGAATTAATTTGCATAATTTAATAATTTGAACGTATTGCACGGATCTAAATCGATTCTAAAGAAAACTTAATTCAGCCGATGTTATGCTGCGAGAAGATTAAAAAAAAACCACATGTAGAATTTCAAACGAGAGTTGCAAATCAGCAAGGAAATATCGAATTTTAAAGACATCTTGCCTCGAGTTTCCCTTTTTTTCACGTGATTTTCCTGCGCTACGTTGTGCGATGAATATTGCTAACAACGAACGTAAAAACAATTACGATATCGTTATACGATCAAGTCTATCGTACGTTTCATAATATTCGAGAAATTATTTCCGCTATTTGTAACTCGAGTTTTCCTTCCTTTTAGTTTCCCAATGGCAATGAATTTGTTTCATCTATGAACAATCGAAAGAAACGTTCACCTTTGTACATTTTATTATCGTCTCTATCATCTTGACGAGCGTTCCGCCTACCAACACGTTTTTCTGTGTCCACGTTTAAATTCCAATTATTTCGATTGCATCGATCGATATCGATCGAATAAACAAATTTTATTAATAATTATTTGTTGATCGAGATTAACTTCTTTAGAAGACCGATACAAGTACTTGGCATCATAATTATCGAACGCATGTAGATACGTCATCTAATCTAAAATTAAAAATCATTCTATATAAAATAAATTAAATTATCAGAATTTTTGATAACGAACTTATTACTTAGCCTAAAGCGATCGAAAGAATACCAACAAATACGATGATAAATATTTAACACCGACATACGTATACAGCCGCGAAAAGATGATAAAACAAAGGTTAAACAAAAGTGACATTAAACAAAGTGCATTTCACAAGTTGTATTTCCTTGTTTCTATACGATCGTGTGTTTGCGTCTGATAGACGTCTACGAGAAAAAAAATTGGCCTCCCTCTTCGTCTTTCTTCAGTTTTCTCCTATACTCGCAATTAACGATCGTTATATCACCGTTCATTAAACATTTATGCGCCTTTAGAAACACTCGCACGTTTCACCATTGTGTCAAGGAACTTCTGACGATAATCGTTTGAATCGTCCGCGCAATTCTGTTGTTTTCGAGTCTACTAACGGTGTTTCTGCAGCATCAGTTATATATAAAGAATCTATTCCTAAGAATATAAGATCGTAAAAAATGTGCTTTTCGAATCGCATACATTACATAAAATATCGTAATTCGTAATTTTAATTTGTCGTCTTCGTTCGTTACTATCGACGATAATATTCAATATTATTCAGTGTTATTAATAATTGCTTTTCGTAAACTGATGTAATAAAGGCTCTATGATCTTTTTCGTTGGGAGAGTTATACAGGGTGGTTGGTAACTGGTGGTACAAGCGGAAAAAGAAGTCGAAAATATAGAATAAAAATTTTTTTTATTTTTTTAAATTTTTTCGTCGAGACAACGATCCACAGTGAGATCCGTTATAACGAGACGCGATAAAGTGCACGCGTACCGAGCGAAAATTCAAAGTCGATTCTCTCGAGAACAAAGCCTCGAACGAAAAATTTTTATTCTATATTTTCGACTTCTTTTTTCGCGTAGAATCACCCCCTTTCCGCTTGTACCACCAGGTACCAACCACCCTGTATATCGAATTACTTCGTTCTTTCGAACGTATATATGCAATTATTGCATATGAATACAGATAGATGTAAATATATGGTTTTATTATTTATTTCAAAATGGAATTCTTAAAAAATCTCTGGTTCTGATCTCATTTTTAATATTATAAGCCTATTTTCCAAACATCTTATTCAAGATGTAATTTTTGGAATTCTGTCTCCTTTGTTACGTACTAAAAAGACCATTAGTCAAACGCAAGAAGCGGTTTGTACAACGTTTCATTCATTGTCTAAGGCTAAGCACCTTAATGCATTAACATCTTCAGTCATTACCATCGTCGGTAGAATGGTAACTCGCGAAATTAATTATGACCTTTCTACGGTAAAAATGTATGTGAGAATGAATGGTGTTGCTGAGTAAAGTTGGACGTTAGTTGTTCAAAGTTAATAACTCTGAAACACAATGTTAGTTCGTATAATAGCGAATCGCAATGGTAGATTGGGAAAGATCTAATGATTGATGAACGTAATCTTTCATAGCAAGTGAAGTTAATCAGAATACTACAGCAGTATACTGTTCATACGTTAAGAGAAAAATGTAAAGCCGGAACTTCGTTCTAAGGCAATAAGGCGAGAAGTGTGTGTAGTAAATAACAAATACATAATACTATTCTAAAGAGTTTAGAATTGAAAATATCCATCGTGAGGTTTTCATGAGAACGTTGATCAAATGTTTGAATAAAAAAATTAATTGAATTAAAAGAAGCAGAAGATCTGGCAGGGAAATCTGGTTCCCAAATTTTTCACTATTTTTATATCTTTTTTTGATAAATCTTTAAAATGGTAAAATTTGTAAGCTACTACAAAATAGACGAATTACATTAAAAAATATA